AGGTCAAAATTGTTCTGGTGAAGTACTCTCTGCTCTGCAGGCAAATTAAAAGTGTTACTGATCATACACGCACACATATGCATGCAATGTTTTTGATGTGAAACCCGTGCCACAAAAAATAATTGGCCAACACACGGGCTGCCCATGCGAAGATACGTTTTATGCATAGCTCCCCGCAGATTTTTACCGTTAACGGCACTGGCTTTTCCGGCAGATGCTTCTAGCTAAAAGAATTTCAAACTGGCTGTCAGAACTGTTAAGAAACATCTTTTCAAAATTCCAGTCTTTTAGCTTCTTAGATACCCGAGTTAGCGACTTACCCGAAAAAAACTTTGGTGGGCCCGTACGTGGATATCACTTTTACCCGGAGGCTGGGTTTGAGCTCATTAATACTCACTTGGACGGGAGACGTCTCCCTAAAATTTCAGCCTTCCAGCACTTCTGGTTTCTGAGTTAGCAACTTGCCCGTAAAAAACATTGGCGGGCCCATGCGTGGGTACCACGCGGGTAAGAGCGCCTATTTTGAAGATGGGGGCACGTACATGCATGTAGATCAAATTCCCAAAATTTCAGCCCCGTAGCTTTTGGTTTCGAGATGAAAAATCGATACAGACGAACACACAGACACACACACACACACATACAGACAGCCTCTCGTCAATATCTGTTTTCTGCATTGCATAGCCGCAAAAAACGCTTGAAAGTGTGAAAAAAAAAACGCTTAAAAAAGTGCGAAAAAACGTGCATTTATAAAATGTAAAAAAGAAATTCGGCTTTGAAAAGGTATAAATTTTGAGCTGGCCAGTATGCTGAACGGGGGTCGCTGCTGCTGTCGCGCAGTAGTCCGATGGGTCGGTTCAACCGGCGGAAAATCTAATCCCTCTACGATTCGTTCATTCGTTTCGATGCCAAAATTGGCGTACTGACCAGTGATATGCCAGGGAGTCAAACCTGCCATCAGCTTGCTTCAAAGCTGTTGCAAAAGGAAGAGCGAGTAACAAGGAAGCGAAGTTGGAGGCTCAACCCCTTTCGCTATGTCCAGTTGCCCTTTGGTTTCCTGTGATATGCAAATGTCCCGTCTCCTGGTTCGAGTTCCCTCCTCCGTGATATTTAATGTGATGATTGAAAATGAAATTGCTCATGTAATTGTTTGGTTTCGCTGGAATTTGGAGGTGTGCGGCGGCAGCATGGAGGTGCTGCCTCTTGTAAATTATTGTGTGTGGCTGGTGTCTGCTTGGAGCTGCTGCCGGGCAATTTCTGGGGTTCGTTTACTCTTTTTGATTTCTTTAATATTGCACTAAAAACGAGGTGAGTCTAGTTGCTTGGTGTTGCACTTCCCCGCAAGCAGTTATCCCAGCTCCTCCTTCGCCCGAACGTTACAAAGCGACCATCTTTGAAAAAAAAGGCCATCGGCGGATTTACTGTTATTCGCCGGCTTTGCCGGGTTTTTTTTGCCGCTAAAAAGATTCTGATTTTGAAATTTTGGAACTGCAAAAAGGTACTGAGAAGTACACTCACTGTTGATTGGCATCAGTCATGTCAGGATGATCGAAGATGCACGGTACG